GGTTGGTTGGTTGGTTGGTTGCTTGGCTGGTTGGCTAGTTGGCGAGCCAGCTAGCTATCTAGCTAGCTAGCTGGCAGGTTGGTCAGTAAGTAAGTAAGTCAGCTAGTATTTTAGCCAGTTAGTAAGACAGCTAGCCAGCTCGCTCGTTAGCCAGGTAGCTGGTTAGTTAGTTAGTGTTCGTTAGTTGGGTAGCTAGCTGGCGCCAGCTAACCAGCTAAGCTAGTTCGCGAGTTGGTTGGGAAGTAGGTGAGTCAGCAAGTAAGTAAGTATGTAAGCAGTTAGCTGGTTAGCTACTAAGTTAGGCAGTTAGACAATTCGTCAATTAGTCAATGCTGTAGCTGGCTAGTTAGATAGATGGTAGATATAGACAGATGGACGGACAGGTACATAGATAGATCTATAGAAAACTGGATAGCTAGATCTATCGAAAGGCAGATAGATTAAGCAGCTGGATAGACAGCAAGATCGATGGATAGGTAGGCAGTATGTCTGTATATCTGAATCCAGTCCAAAACTTGGCATTGGAGATATCTGCAAATACTATATGTACATGTTCGATTGTCGACTTATGATACACCAGTACATGCTTAGCGTTTCTTGTACGGTATTGATGCAACACAAGAAAGCGAACGTCGTGACTCGCTGCCATGGGAATAGGTGGCATGCCAGATTAGTGTAGAGCTTTGGTGTTACTGCGAACAGTTTGAGCCAACATTAAGCCCTAGGCCCTAAACCCCTAAACCCCTAAAGCCCCTAAACCCTAAACCCTATACCCCTAAAGTTCCTAAACCCTAAACCCTAAACCCCTAAGGCCCCTAAACCCTAAACCCTGAACAAAATCTCCGGACAAGGAGGAGGCCTCTCTGCGCGTGAGCTGAACCAGAATGGCACACTTCAGATCACGGACGCCACAGCCATCGACGGAGGCATGCCCCCAAACTGAAAAAAAGCCGTGTTTAGGGTTTAGTGTGAGAACAGGATACCTCCACGGTACTTCAGCCAGTTCACCTCTGAAACTGCAGGAAGTCAGTTTCCTCAGTCTACGCAAGTCAGTCTCCGAAGGTTTTGCAGTCAGAGGTGCTTATGGTTTAGGGTTTCGGGTCGTTTTTCCCTTGAAGCGTATGCCCCTTGTCCTGAACGTCAAATCGCCAGTAGTGGCAGCAGTTTGCATTGCCATTGTTCGTCCTACTCGGGATCTTGCCTTGTATATACCACTATAAAACACGCATATACATATATGTATATGTATACATATATATATATATATGCTTGTAAATACACCATCACATCGATATAGCTATATAAACCACTGTACCCATAGACATATACCACTTAAAGTTATGTTTGACTCACAACGGGTGTTTGCAAGCGAAGCATGCGTTGGAGTAGTCCCGAAGATCAACAGCATGGTGTCCTGATATTCGAACGGCCGAGATTCTTTAGGCTTTAGGGTTTAGGGTTTTGCGTTTAGGGTTTACGGCCTTCCCCGAATAGGCGAAAACTGTCCAGCCTGTTGTTGTAGGTTTAGGGTGTAGGTTTTGGGGTTTGGGCTTCCTCTCTGTATACCTTAATGTCACCCCCTAGTATGGACTGCTGCAGGGTGGCGGCAGTATAAGAGTTTAGGGAATTTCCAGCCTTCTGTTTCCCCAAGGGTCCATGTACTCATATACTATATACATTGGCCTTAATTGTAGCCCCTATATAGGTACTTTAAGGCCCATGTATATGCTATATGAGTACATGGACCCTTAGGGTTTGCCAGGCGCCATTTTTGTCGAGACGACCGCTCGGATAGCAGGCCGCGTCATGACCAGGCACTGCGGGGAAAACTTATCGGGTTTAGCAAAAAAGGGTTTAGGGTTTAGGGGTTTAGGGTTTAGGGGTTTAGGGTTAGGGCTTCAGATGCAATGAGTAATGAGAACACGCAAGTTGGCTTCCACACACATTTTAACATCCCCAATCGTATTCCTTAGAAAATAGTGGCTATATTGCTGCAATGTACCCCAAAGCCTTTTCTAATCATTCGGGCCCCTTGTTTCAGACCCTAAACCCTAAACCCTAAACCCTAAACAGGAACACTACGGCCGAAGCTTATGGGGGAAGCATCCGAGCCGAGATGATGCTCTTGCTCTCGGGTGTAGCTTGGCTCCGATCTGCTGTTCATGTCGGCGCAGTTGGGTCCAAAACCTCACATGAGCCCTTCTAAGCCGTGTGAGCCCTGTAAACCCAATGAGCCCTAAGAGCCGGATCCCTAAACCCTAAGCCCTAAGCCCTAAACCCTAAACCCTAAACCTTAACCCTTAAACCCTAAACCCTAAACCCTAGCTCGGGTCCTTCTGGCTCCCTAGAGCCGAGGAGCTGCGAATCCGTGACAGCAGCGCCTACTACTCAGGTGGTGCGCTGACTCATGGTTGCATTTTTTGCAAAGTCACCCTATCCCCCCAGCTACCTACTACAAAGGGCCCTTGGGGCTCTAGTACCCTATATAGTAGGTACCTGGGAGGTTAGGGTCAGGGCTTAGAGTTTGGCTTTAGGGTGGGATTCTTTGTTTACCATGCAGAATAAGGGCAAAGACACAACGTGGCAGGCTTCATAAGTACCACGGGGGCGCAGATCATCCCGTTCCATCCATCCCATCCGATGACGTGATATGATATGATAGTGTACTGCGTTGCATTGTGGTGTATGATGCATATGTGTTCACAATTATTGAATATACTATTGCATTACTACACTAGAATATGGATACCAGAGCCTGTCATACATATATAAACATGAGGGTTAACAGCAATAATAGTAGCTCTATTGACAGCAGCAGTAACAATAATGAACAAGTCTAATCATGCTATGAAGACTACCAATAACAATAGAACAGTAATGAATATATAAAAAAGTTGCATTAATGGAAATAGTTACATTAGTCATAAGAATATCATAGCACTAATGTTAAGACTAATAAGAACAAATAGTGAAACTTACAATTGTCATACCAACTCTAGTACTTATACCACTACCACCACTACTACTACTACTACTACTACTACTGCTACTACTACTGCTACTACTACTACTACTACTACTACTACTAACTCCTACTCCTACTCC